GACGGCAGAGTAACACTGAGGTCGCTGCATCGCGTGAGCGGCTTGGCCGTCACCACACTCAGCATTACTCAGCACATTAGACGCGGGTCTGACGGCAGAGTAACACTGAAGTCGCTGCATCGCGTGAGCGGCTTGGCCGGCACCACACTCAGCATTACTCAGCACATTAGACGCGAGTCTGACGGCAGAGTAACACTGAAGTCGCTGCATCGCGTGAGCGGCTTGGCCGGCACCACACTCAGCATTACTCAGCAGCTCACCTGTGTCAGGGGCCTTCAGCTGCAGCCCTTCCATTGCCCTGAGGACCGTGGGCAGCAGGGCCCCGCTGTGGAGGCCCCCAAAGACCACGCTGGAATTCTGCTCCTCCCAGGCCAAGTCTGAGGGAAACATACAACACAGCTTCATCAGGACAGGCTCTGGGTCCCGGGCCCTCGCTGGTCCCTCAGAGTGATACTCACTGGCACAGTCTGCTGGGGTTCGGGCCCCCAGGGCACAGACAGGGAGGGCCGGGAGCACAGTGGGGCCACAGTCCGAGATGAACAGCAGCCGGGAGCGCTCCCCAAGCCTCCGCAGGCGGTTTGCCGCCAGTGCAACGACAGCACCTTTCCGGAAGGCTCTCAGGCCGCGGCCCGCCTGCTCTCCGGGAGGCGCTATGTCTTTGGGCTCCAGCGCCCACACCAGCGAGGCCACCTCCTTCTCCAAGGCCTCGTGTCCCGCCAGCAGTTCCAGGAGTCGAGCCTTCTGGGTGCAAAGGGCTGCGAGCCGCCAGCGGAGCGGCCCCAACGCCCCCACCAGCAGAGCACAGGCTGCCAGCAGGGCGGCGCTCTCTTGCTGGGCCTGCAGGAGGAGGCGCTGAGAGCGAGCCAGCTCCAGGGCCATCTGATTGCGGATGCTTTCTAGGCTGGCCACCTTCTCCTGGCCTGTCTCTGCCACCTCCTGCCACTTCTAGGTGAAGAAAATCCCACACAGATGCCAGTTTATCTTCCAAGATCCACTGCAAATCATCAGTTACAGCAGTTCTGACATTGACAGTGCGCTCAGCTTTTAAGAAAAACAGCATCAGCGCGGGGCAGGAATGAACACAGTCCCCCTCCCTCCATATGGCAGGACTATTGCCCTAAGCGTAAGGTACAAGAACTTAACGTAAATGTGACTCGACACACACTTAATGTGGAGGAGGGCTGAGGTGAATGACAGCAGAGACTGAGCTGCCGGGATCCAGCCAGGCTGAACGGCTGCCTCACCAGCCCCAAATAATCTGCCTTCAGAAGCTGTACAGTTCAATGGTTCGACTGCCTGACTAATTTGGTTCTTTCTGATCAGCTACGCATTACGTATGCAAACTACGGCACACCCAAGGGTTTAAGATCTAAGAATTAAAATGCATTTCCACAAATACTTCCGTTCTCCTCTACTACCACCGCCTGAAGCGTACAGTATTACACAGAGAGCCTCATCTACGGTTCAGCTAAAAATGTAATCTCCTTTTAGCAAGACTGCATTCACTCTGCTGCCACCTGCAGGACACCCTGCATACTGCAGACTCAGGTTACCGCGAGTCACGGGTATAAGGCCCAGGCTGTGCTCTCAGCGTTTTACCATGAAAAAAAATCGCTTAACCAGAGTCAGGTACTGCATTTTCATTCAAAGCACCTTTAACGGGGCCGTTACCGAGCTGGGATCAGTTGTGATAATGTGGTGATGTACTGTCTCGTGTCAGCGTGTGAAGGTTCAGGATAATGGATCTCACAGCAAATCAGAAACACTGGCCCTAGGCTGTACACCCAGGAGTGACACTCATCATCAAGTGCAAGGTAAATGTATTTAAGGCCAATCTGCACTGGGCTGGCGGAACGTAAATGGAGCAGAGCGCCGCGGTGAGGGGAGGCAGGGCAGCGCGCCGCGGTGAGGGGAGGCAGAGCAGCGCGCCGCGGTGAGGGGAGGCAGAGCAGCG